CCCCCCCGGCAGCCCTAGTGTCATTGCTGTCACCCCCAAGTTTTACAGTTTTACAGAGAAATTGCTAGAGAATTAGAAAAGTAGAAAATAATTCTTTGAAAATGTTTGCACCAACAAACTGCCCCTGAGTCAACGGGTCAGTCTCCAGGTGATGAAGCCTCCGAGAGCTATGCCGGCGAAGAAGGTGATGACAAGGCCTCCTCTGTCAGAGCTCATGGATGACGCGGTCTGCATGGACGCCACCGCCAGCTCTGAGAAGCTGCAGATCCATCCTCCTCGCTGCAAAATCCAGGAAAGGAGATGTTTTTTGAAAAAGTCCACGGTGCACTTCAGGATCTCCATCACTGACTGAGGCATATGAGCCTCCACCATTCTGACTGCCAACTTGCTGGCAACATAGATTAGCACAGCAATCTTCTCCCAGGTGATCCCATCCTCAAGCACCTTGTTTGCCACTGAGTTAAATCTGTCCCACCTGAAACCTCGTGCAAGCCCGTCTATTTCATCTCGGATCTCCACGTCATCCTTTATTTTGTCACCAATTTTGCGGACCAATGTGCTCACCTGGTCCACAAGCTTGTCCTCCTCATTCTTTAATTCCACAGTATAGAGGGTGAGGGACGGGACGTCGTCTGAGGCTGTGTGTTTCAGTTCCTCCTCAATTACATCTTTGATCAGGGCCTTTCCTATCCTCTCATCAGACAAGCCATCACACGCCATGGTTAAAAAGTGAAAAACTTTAAGACAAAAATACTTAAAGAGAAACTTCTCTCCGCTTCTCTTCAGTGACACTTCCTCTTCCTTGACGGTTCAGTAGGCGGAGCTGTGTGTGTCTGTGAGATAGATGAGTCATTAGTCACCAAAGGCGGGTTTCTGTGAACCAGTTCCACTTTCTGTTTTTCTACAATATATATTTGAGTAATTCTTAGTTTTAATAACCCTCCACTCGTTTAATATTGTGTTGTAAAAGCTGCTTTTTTCTGATCGTATGTGTTACAGGCCTCAGGATGAGTTACTTGTTTTGTACAGGAAAAGTACAAACAGTTGTGTTCATTCAACAGGCAGTCCTCTGTTTTTTAATAACAGGCTAATATTAAACATACTATCCACCAATACACAACTTCACAAATTAACAGACATATTACTGTTAGCATAACATAAATCTGGTACTTTTACATCTCTGTATATCATTACCTGTAACAACGAAACTACAAATCACTGTAAACAAACAATGTGCACTCAAACACACATTTTCCCCATGCTGCTTCAACCAGCCTCGAAAGATATCCCACCAGTGATACAACAGGTTCTACAGCTTGCTTGACATAGCTTTCCTACTCTACTGTATGCCTGAACACTTTTACACAATTTTTACACAATGATGCAGACTTCACAGTAACAAACGTCAGTCTTTTAACCATACAAGATTTAACATTTTTACCTTATCAACACAGTACAATGAATTAACGATGTTAATCTAAATCAAATTAATGAAATGAAATAGAAATGCTCTGGAGCTCTATACAACCAAATGAAAACATCGACAGTTTCTCTAAAGGAAACTCTAATGCTCAAACTTTACTCACAACATCAAAAAGGCTTTATAAGTCCTTCAGGATACATTGTGATACATTAACACTCATTACTAACCTGTTTGGTACAGGAAAGTACAGACAAGAGCCGTCAGTTGTGTTCATTCAGCAGGCAGTCCTCTGTTTAAGGGAGGGAAGCCTGACACAGCTTACTACAACTGGTGCTCACCTTTGGTCATACTCCCTCTTGTGGTGGAGTTGTGAAACGCACCTTACTAAAACCAATATAGAAAACACATTTAAATCTGGCCTTTTCCATAGAAAAATACACAATAATTCAAACAACTCAACAATTGTGACCATACATTTGTGGGTGTCACATATGCTACAACTAGAATACTTTTATCTCTTTGTTTGGACTTTGTTCTACAGACTTTTGTCTGTTAGCTTTTTGTTTTGGTTTCCAAATGACACTTGGAGGAGGACTGATAATCTTGACTTCATGTCAAAGTGCAGAAGAGCTTGAACCAGACCTGCAGACCCAGACTGACTGGTTTGAACAGTAATCAGCATTCACAAGTAAAGACAATAATTCAGTTCAATTCAATTCAATTTTATTTGTATAGCACCACATCATAATATACATTACCTAATTTCCCTTTGGTGATGAATAAAGTAATCTATCTATATATCTATCTACATTATCTCAAGGCACTTTACAAAAAAGGTCAAGACCTTAAAATCGTATTAATATAGAGAAACCCAACAGTTCCCACAATGAGCAGCACTTTAGCGACTGTGGAGGAAAAACTCCCTCATTAACAGAGAGAAACCTCTAGAAGAACCAGGCTCAATGTGGGCGGTCATCTGCCTCGACCGGTTGGGGGGAGCAAAGAAAACGGGGGAGGAGAGGAGAGATGAGTGCAAAAGAGGGGAGAGAAGATTGAGGGATAGTGGGGAGGGGGAAGTAGGGGA